GCTTTTCATATAGTATTAATAAATATTTATTACGTCTTATTGTGGGAAAAAATTTCATATAATTAATTCTCCGTAAAATTTACTTGAAATTTAAGGTTAAAATAGCTGTGGCAATTCAGTAACAAAAAATCCATAGACACATTGGCGTTATATCGCTCAAAAAAAAGATGCCAAATTTCAAAACGCGAAATATGTAAATGTGTATATCTTAGAAAATTTTGAATAAAAAGTCTAATTTTTGCAGATATGCTTAAAAATACACCTACTTTATGATGATGGTAAAAATTTTATAGGTTATAATTCAAAATGTTTTTTCGAAAAATTTATAAAAATTATTTAAAAATAGAAATTTAAAAAATAAAACAAAAAAATGGGTAAATTTTATTTGGAATGAACCTAAATTTCGAAATGTGAGAGAAAAAATAAAAAAAGTTGGTAAAAAAAGATATTAATAAATATTTGCCGAAATTCAATTAACATTGAGGAGCTAAATTTTGAGAGCTAATATTTTAAAAAACTACTCGTACGATTTTTACAAAACTGGTATTCTGGCATAATTTGAGCCGTAGAATGAAATATGGAAAAAATTGGTATGTTATTTCAGAAAAAGTCCGATTTTGTGTCAAAATACCTATGTTAGAATAGTGCTATATATAAATCTAATATATATCCTAAGTCGCGCTTTCGAGACATGAAAAACGCAGTTTGAATTTTGTCAATCGGCCCAGTAGAACGGGAGCTATAGCACTGTCCCATTTTTTTTTTTGAGCAGTGTACATACGCTGGGTACTTGATTGTCAAACATAGAGCATAATCTTAACGAACTACTGGTCAGTCTAAACATTGATCAGTAGTGAAAGACTATACAATTATGTACTCAACTAGACCCTGGCTTAGTAACTTTACGCGGAGGCGTCAGATTTAAAATGACAGCAGCGAGAGACCGCAAAGCAGAATTATTACAACTGTTAGAGCTGGCAGGAACTAGCGACGTAGCGCTCACGCAATGCCAGAAACACTCTCTGTGTTACAGCGAAAAACCTCAACTTAAATAATCACAACTAATTTGCATTCCGGTGAGGAATAAGGAAAGGAGAAGTTACAGCCAAGACTTAAAATATAATAACTAGTTAATTAACATAAGATTGCCTAAACTTTTAATGCGAAATCAAAGTGCAGGCGATGAGTACTGTAATAAAAAGAATTTAACTCAAGAAGTTTAAATTATCAGGACTACAGTCTTATTTGCTTATGTTTATTTCAGTTTAAACTTATAAAACAGCATAAATTAATCAATATTTTCTCTGCATAAAGAATGATTTTATTGCTTTTAAATGAATACTTTATTTCCTTTAAATAGTCACTAATATATAATTTCACAACTTAAGTCTATTAGTTACTGCTAAGAAAACATAATTTTAAAATATCAATGTCCGTATAAAGATTTAGAGAGTTTCTGGTCCGCACTCTCATTTCACATACAGCATTCCCTATATTTTTAGTTTCTTTTTCTTACCCAGATGTTAGACTTCCCACAATTTTGTAGCAGACTTAGTTATTTCATTCCCTTAAGTTGGACAGTTTCATAAGATCGTTATTCTTCTTTCAAATAGGAGGAGAAAAAAATTCGAAAAACTGTACTTCAGTATTCTTTAATTAATCTTCATATGCATTTAAATTCCCCCCTCGAACAGTAAAAAAAAAAAAAAAAAAAAAAACTTCTTCTATTACTATGGAAATGGAAAATAAAATGTTCACTACTTTTTAAAGAAAATGAACATTAAAATATCAAATCTTGGATGCATCTTTCAGTAAATGCACGAAGTATGCGTGTTTACTCATTAGCGACGTTAAAAATATCCTATTTTTTACGAGACAACGGGTTTTAAAATATCGGTATTAAAGAACAGCGCTTTGAAGTGAGTGAAGAAGAAATAGCACGCTTTACTCGCGGGCAGTTTTGCTTTCTTCATTCCTTCCCCCCTCCTGTTGTGATATGCTAACTACAGTTATCGAATCGATAAAACCAATAACATAACTTGGATAAAAAATAATGTGAAACTTTGTTGGCCGTTTGTTCGTTTGCATTTAAAGGTGGAACGATTCCTAAGTTTTTCCGAATCCTAATTTTGAAAAACTCAATCTTTCATACATAAATAATAAAAAGAAGAAAAGAAAAGATAAAATTTACTTTTTATTAAAGGTTTTCACTTATGAAAAATTTAAGGCCTCTGTAATAAATTATGGCCAAAAAACATTAACAAGATGAAAAATTAAACATTAACAAGATGAAAAAGAATGTACTTAGCCCCGCCGAGTTGCTACCCTTACATCAGGAAAGCATGCTGGAAGAAGGGAGAAAATAACTTATATACACCCCCACAACTGTGGATTAGAAAACCAAAACGCCAAATCCTGGTGGTGAAGAATTATTGTCCACCATTCTTTTTAGTTCGGGAGCTAACGTAGATTCATTAGGTTATTTTAAAGCAGGAGACATAAAAATGAGCAATGACTTCGAAGGAACTCAAACAAGGACCTCTCGAATACACGCCGAATGTGCTACCGTTACACCACGAAGGCATGCTGGAAGAAGGGAGAAAATATCTTACAACTTTTTTTAAATTAAGTTCTTTTTTTTTTTTTTTTTTTTTTATTTATTTATGCCACATAAAATTCAATTCAACAGCAAATTCACAACAAATTTAAAAACAGCATATCTTTTAAATTTCGAATATACACTCTCTCTCGTGTTGGAGATAAAAATATTTTATTCCCTGCAGTGTTGGTACTGCTCGCTTTCAAATCGCTGAAATTTTTAATAAAAAATGCATTAAATTTGTACAAAATATGAAATAAATACTAATGAAACAAATTCGAAATTCAAAATTATGGCTTCTATGTGCCCATATTCGGCCGGAGGACTAAATTATTCAAATTCCACAATGCGAGAAACTTACATTCATACATACATACCTAAAGATTCTACATTATTTAATTTTTTAAAAATAATACAGGGCGATAACATTTGGTGGCAACAATTTGGAGAGTGATAGTGGATAGTGGATAGTGGATAACAGTGGAAGACCCAGCATTCCGTTTCGAGACTAACAGCCCATTCGTGCTAGAACTGTGTTGAGATAATAATTAAGGAAGACTTACAGCTTAAAAAAGCTAATGTTCTCCAGCTTTTGCCAAGGCATGTGGTTCAACGTAGAATAATTTGTAGAACCGTGTCTGAAAATTTTCAGCAGGAGATAAATGGAAATACGTTGTGACTCTTGATGAAACATGGTTAAATGACTGCAACAAAAAAAGTATATTTATTTTCATAAACGAAGAGAAAAAATGTATCTACATGATTTCGTCTATGTAAAGAAAGTTTCAGTAAGGGGTTTATGATTACCTTACAATGGGAAAATTAAAATAAGAATGGGAATAAGTGTAAAAATAAACTCAACGTTCTTGAGTTGATTTTCACACTTTTCCCGACTCTTCTTATTTTCTTCAACTTCTTTAGCCCAATAACTTTCAAACAGTGCAACCTTATCAATGCAAAGCAACAGGTCATACTTCAAAAAGTACCACTGCATTCCATGAGAAAATGAAGACTGATACATGTACTGTATACATCGGCGTATCAAAGTATTCCCACAATTTCCCCTGATGTTTCACCTATGGACTATTGTGCCTTTGGTCTTTGAAAAGCGATAAAAAGCTAAAACACATCAAACTCAAATCCTCCACGACTGAGTTCTTGAAAGTAGTCGAAGAGGAATGGAAATGACTATCCATGGAAATTTTACGAAAATTCCTTCTGTCATGGAAATCACGATGTAGATTTATATTGCAGAAAAATAGCTATCAGAACGAACATTTGAAAAACATTCATTTTACATTTTAACCATACTGTTGATCCCCAGGTATAGAGAAATGTCAACTTTTCGCATGCTATTTTAATGATTGTTTCTTCTTGATCTCAAGATAATAATCTATCCGAAGTTAAAACGTTTAACATCTTTTTTAGATTAGGAGTCCAAACATTTTTGGGATAAAAATGCGTTACGAATCGAATGTGTAAAGTAAATTAAGTACTGTAATCACGAAATAATTTGAGTATCATTTTTCAAATGAAATATCCATTTTGATCCGAATTCATTAGGACTATTTTTTTGCGTGCTGCATGCCGACAGAATAAAGGACTCTTTTCTCCAAAACGGACTATAAAATGCATTCAAAATGGATTTTATCGCAACGTCTGTACATATGCATATATGTAGGTACGTATCTCGCATAACTCAAAAATGACTATCAGTAGAATCTTGGAATTAAGTACATGGTACTGGTATAACATCCCGCCTTTTTTATTGCAATCGGGGGAACCAAACGGCAGAAACAGATTATAACGTCTAGTTCTAGACCTCCCTTTTATATTGCAATTGGCAGAAATAATTCCCTTTTTTTATTCTGCTTAAAAGTCCTTACCTGCCTTTTATTTTTCCAGTCGTTGGTGGAAGTCATATACTTAAAATTACAAAAGGATTTTAAACGAAGAAAATATTCATGTTTGGGCAATATCGTATTTAACAAAGCTTAATTTTCGACAAATAACTATATCTAACTTTTAATGCAATCCCACGATTCCTATGTATACTTATAATTTGGAAAGTTTTATATTCTTTATCAAAAAATAAAATTATAAGATATTTGACTCAAGTATGACAAAAATGGGGCTTGATATTTAATTTCAAAGTTTGCAATTTTTGATGTCATTTTCAATTTTCCTTGAGAGATCAGTTAATTAAGTTAGAATTTTCCTAAGAAATTAGATTAAAGGAAGTGCAACAAAATATAAAGAGGCCATACGAGGAAGTCATATGGTGTCCACATCATTTGTTTTCCAATTCTATATATAAACCTTAAGGGATTAAGGTTTATATATAGAATTGGATATATATATAGAAAACAGACAAATTAAAGGGCTTTGTTGTTAAATAGTCATGATTTCCAATTTATCTCGTTTTTACAGCGTAGAAGGACAAAGAGAATCAAATATCGAGGTCACCTTTCGCACAAGTCATCACAAAGGATTACTGTTATGGACCAACAAAGGAGCAACAATTCGTGGCGATTATCTGGCACTTGCAATCACTAAAGGATATGCTCAACTGAGTTTTAATCTGGGAAAGCAAACAGAGCCTCTACTCATCACTAGTCTTCACAGAGTGGACGATTCCAGGTGGCACACAGCATTAATAGAAAGGTTAGTACGAAGTAAATAAATATGCATTTATTGCTACAGGTATTTGTGTTTAAATTTTGTATACAGATTTGATATTTCATACTGAAGCTGTGTTTCCAGGTTTTTAAATTTTGACATATTACTTCTGTCTTATAAAGCTCAAAATATTGCATTGTAGTTTGCCAACGCATTTAGAGCAGATACTTATCTTTAACTAACCGATATTCAATTCTAGTCTCTGTATTTTCATACCGCTAAATTCTTTAACCGAAAAACAGATACGCTTCGGTTACAGAAAACTAAAAACCTTCTTATTCTTTATGGTAGATCGTGGAGGCTAGCTGCTGGTGTAATGAGTTCACCTACAAATCAAAAGCATGACATAGATTGCTTTTAAAACTTCATTATGTGCTTCCCATAAGCTTTACTTGAAAAGGGAGGAATGCTCGTGGAGGACTTTTTAAGAGAAACTGGTTCGTATCCATGGTTACACATGGAGAAAACCACGAAACGACCATTCAGCCAGCCTGTTCGGCTGGACTTGAACAGTGGATTTAACTACCAAAGTTAAGCAACTTTGCTGCTCAGTCGCTACTCGCCTCGAAGTAGATATTTGCGAGTATATTGTCTTCGTGGACTAGAATGCTTAAAATATTCTCGATATGATAAATTTAGGAAAGAAGGGCGTTCATACCCTTATATTCCAGCCTGTTCTCGGATAAAAAATTTAATCTAACTAAATAAAGTCATACTGTCCCAGCAGATGAATTTTGGTTAAGTCTCTGCCATACTGTCATGAAGCAGCATTAGGTCATTGTTTTGCTTCCCGATGAGAATCGATTTATTCTGTAATCAAATACGAAACTTCGGTTCATTTAGCATGGAAGGAGTAAGCCGTGGAATTAGGAAAATTAAAAGAAAAGTTATCATTATGATAGTGTTGGGATAATGGCGGGAGACATCATTATGACTGAGGGATGAGCAATGGTACTTTGACAGGAGAACGCTGTTGAAAAGGAATTAATGGACGCTAAATTCGTTTGTTCTATGGGGTTATTAGCTAAACTTCTCTATTTATAGATGGATGTAACACTTTATCGAACCAGTTTTGTAGAAAATGTCCTGAAGAGTCAAGGATTGAATAGATATTCTTAACTCTGTATGCTTCCCATATCTGGAAACCACTGGAAACGTATGAGACATTAATTTAAACCTTAATTTAAAGGAGCAACGGAGCGATACATCCTGCCAACTCCTATAACACTCCGCAATGCTGTGGCATACTCCATGTGTATGCCACAGCATTGTGATTGCTGCATCTCATTCCAGATTCGCTACGAAATATTCAAATTGTCTGCACATTAATATGTACTTTTATTCCATCCTGCATTTATGCCTAATTCGTAGATGTAACTATATCTACGAAAGACTTCTACCATTGCTTTGATTCGTGATTTTAAGCACATTGTTGATTATCATTTTGCGTTACCTATTTGGAAATAAATAAATTGCCATATTTACTATTTATGCCTAGTTTTCTTTGTATAATCAAAAGTGCTCCCCATCCTTAAATTTTGAAACTATTTGCATTTCGTGTAGTTGCTTTCTTTTTAACTGCGTAATATTTGAAGAATAACTGCCCTCTCTTTCTGAAATTAAATTCGTACACAACGGCAGTACATTTCAGTATATCTAATCAGGTCAAAGGACTTTTAATGAATTATTTGGGAAATGTTTGTGTATTATGATCTCTGTATTCTTCGGAACAGAACAAATCCTTATTACCAAGTTTAATTCATTTCTAGGGAAACAAAATGTATTTCTAAAAATTTCTAAAAGCTAGTAAATTGCTATATATGCACAGAAAAATTAATAATTATTAAGAAATATATATAAATCATTGTTTTCATGAAATCATACATACACTAGTTCGAGATAGAAAATTTTTTCAAATCTTCAATCAGCAGGCCAGGTGAATTCTAAAACTGAATATTTATTTCAGCTCCAAGTAGTAATAATTATGAGATCAAAGCTTATTACATTCTATTAGAAAGCATCTCTGGTTCTAGAAAGCATCTTTATTTACAAAACAGCAAACGTTATCTACGTAATTGCATTCTGTAGAAAATAATAAACTAATCAATCATGAAAATAGAATTAGTGCATGCAGATTAAAAATAGATCAAAATGCACCAGAAATATGCACATAAGTGATATGATGAAATAGAACGCAGAATAAGTAATGAATAATCAGACGTACATAAGAACAAAGAAGCAAATAATTACATAATTTAAAAACTTTTATGCATAGAAAAAATAATTAAATCCCCAAAATCAGTATAAAAATTCATTCTTTCCATATAAATAGTACATGTTTTTAACTTATTTAAATCTAACATCAGAAAAACTTTATTTTTTTTTCGGAAAATAATAAAAAGAATTTTAAAATTACAAAAAATCTATTATGAAATATAATAAATCAAAATTATAAATACATTAAAATTCAAGATTATCCTAATTAGGCAAATCCTTACAGAACAAGTTGCTTAGAGCATCTCTGATATTGTTTGGTGGTTAAATTCTGTTATAATAATAATCACCTATATTTTTCGCAAAATAACGTAAAAAATTAATAATCACATAATTATTTTTTCACAGAATAATTCATTATTCATTCGTAATTATTTTCGCGAGTTAATTTGCTTCTTATAAAGACAGGAATTTTGGGTATTTTTATCTTCATTAATATTCCGCATTTCAGTTTGAGATTTAAAAAAAATGAAAGGAAGAAAAAAAGAAAAAGAAAGGAGAAAAAAAATTAATCACTACATAGCCGTTTGAGTGGCAAGTCTAAAATAGCTATTATAAAAAAGAAAATTATAATGATTTTAATGAGTCCAGCTAGAAAATTGCTTAATGATTTCAGTGACGAACGAAATGTATTGCTTTTGTTGATTAATTTAATCGGTCGTTCTAGTCCAGCATTTCTAGATTTCAGATTCATTGTAAAATCTCTTTAATACATTTTCAATATGCTCTGAAAAGTACTGGAATTAAGAAAATATCTGGAAGCATTTTATTTTTCAGTGCAGAACTTCTAGTTATTTAGTATTCAAAAACAAAAATTTAAATATGGATCACCTTATTTCTTCCATTCAGGTCTTCTCAGTTTTTTTTTTCATGTTACTTCTGGTATGTTATTTTATATTTTAGTTTATATCGGTAGACCTGATATTAGCTCAAATAGCAATTTTATATTCTTTATTCCATTGAAGAATCGATGATACAAAATCGTTCGCTCTAGCTGTGCAATGAAACGTAGCGTACCTTTCTCAACAAACATCTAAAGAAGAGCAAGAAAGTATAATATCGTAAACTGAATACACTGAATTCTGAAGAATGAACACTATAAATACTGAAATATTTTTGTACAAATTATTAGCAAGACAAGACAAAAAAGCTAGACAGAAAAATTGCATCTTAAGTCTTCAGTGTAATGTAACACTCCGAAGAACACAAATGCACAAGGTCTTTAAAGTTTTCATGCGTCAGTTATGTGCCACATAACTTCGAAAATCCTTTAATAAATTACGAAAAGAATACAAATGATCATGCAACTTATTAATCATATACAGGTATATGTCATAAATTAAAAAATTTGTATTTCACTGAAGCAGATACTATTTAAATCTATGATAAACCTAATTAAAAAAAATTTTAAATACTATTAAGGTTTTCATCTATTGCTTTAAAATCGCTTAGTTTGTTAAGTAACAGATAGATCAAATAAATTACATCTCGTGAAATGGCAGCTCACTTGCACTTGAAAGATAAAAGTATTCTGATTCGAGCTGTGGCAGCACACCATTTCAAAATCGCTGAATTTTTTAATTAAATTTCAAAGAGAAATTTCGCGTACCTTCCCAAGCTGGCGACTAAAAGATATATATACACTGGTGTGCAAAAATTAAGGACGAAGTCGAAAAATTAGCATATCAGCTGAACGAAGAGGCAGAGCGGACAGAAAGACCAATCAGGAGATAAGTAAGGTGATGTACGGTAGCATATGCGCAGATATGCAGATAGATGTAATGGGGGAAGGTTGATATGTATAGCATGTTGTCGGTGTAAGATCAGTATTCTGGCAAAGAGATTCACGCTAATGGCGAATAATCAATCTGTTAAGACAATGGATGCTTTTACCAGGTCGAATCATTGGGAAGTTGGAGGAAGGCCGCAGTATGACAAGTGTGGCTGCAGAGTTCAGAATGCTAACAGCATCGTTTCACGATTTGGAGACATTTCAAATACAGTAACAGTATCCGGGGGGTTTAGTAGTGGTGTCCAACGAGAACCACACCCGTGACCGGTTATTGCCTTACAGCCAGGAAGAAGGCGGCAGACAGCGGGAAGAAATCGCTACAACACGATACGGCGACTGACGACCGATATCGCGATTTACCGTGGCAGAAGACCACGGTGGTAGTCTTTTGCACGACGCCCTGTACGGTGTGTACCTCTAACGCCTGCCCATCGGAGAAGGCGTTCACTGTGGTGCCGGGATCACCGGAATTGGAGAGACAATGAATGGGGCGAGTACTCTAGAGATGAGAGCAGATTCAGTTGAGTAGCGATTCTCATCGCATACTCATCTGGAGAGAGCGGGGAAGCCGCAATCATCCCTCGAACATCATTCAAGGACAGGTATGGAGGTGGCGGGTTGTTCTCGTTTGGGGAGGCATCATGCTTGGTAGTCGTACAGACCTTCACATCTTCGACGCAGTTCAGTCACGGGACCCGTTATTGTAAAGAGATTCTTCTTCCATATTGCGTCTTTTTAGAGGCGCTATGGGTCCGCAGTTCCTTTTCATGGACGACAATGCACCATGTCATCGCACAGTAGCTGCAGAACCTCTTAGAGAGTGAGGATATTGAACGTATGGATTGGCGGCACGATCTCCGGATCTCAATCCATCGAGCATGTATGGGATTTTCTAGGCGCAGACGCTTGGCAGCTCATACCTTACCACCAGTAACGATCCGGAGCTTCGATTGGCGCTGCAAGACGAATGGAGCAATGCCTCAACAACTCATTGACACCCTCATGTCGCAGCATGGCAGACGCGTGAAACTTGCCTAGCAGTCCGGGGATATCATATCCCCTATTAAAGACCGGATGTTCTTGCTGGACACCCATCACAGGGATGTTTCGCGCCTTCAGTCGCATTGCGCTCCATGCTATTTTCAATAAAGCTTCTTTTTATCCCTCTGATTTCTCTTTTAGTAAGTGTTGCTTATATTACTCATGTCCATACGTATTGGGGATCCTACGGTATTAAATGTGTTGATTTGGAAAGCTTTTGTACAAAGCTATATTGAAAAAACCGTCTCGTCCTTAATTTTTGCACATCAGTGTATTTTATTTAAAACAGAGGCTACACATTTCTTTTAAATACTGAATAAGTTAATCAAAGCAGCAAAACATAAAAATCCCATTTAGACACCACGTGACTTCCTTGTACCATGTATTGAATTATACACATTTTTTACTCATTTCGTTTATTTCCTCGAATTTCATTAGAGATAATTTCACATTCAATTAATTCATTTCTGACTTTGCGGCAGGGCAAAAATACATAAAAACTCCTAACATCTTTAAAAATTGTAAAATACAGGAAAACCTAAAATACCAATTGCAGTTAAAAACAGTATGGAAAAAAAACTTATGCAATTAAAATTGGAATTTCTAAGAAAAAATAATCAATTCGGCTAATGGGCAAGAATATTAAGTTTTCGGTGAACGAAACGTAAGGTTTACTTTCTGTCTTTACTGGGCAAAAGGATGCTGAAGTTTGTACCCCAACTGAATTAATTCACTGCTTTTCTAAAAAATTCAAATGTCAACAATTAATTCACTGCTTTTCTAAAAAATTCAAATGTCAGCAAATGGCGGCATTGTTAAGCTTAGCGATAATTTTGAACTGTTGATAATTCTACAACTATAGCATGCACATTGAATAAACGCATAAATCCTTAACCGGGATATAAGAACAACATAATTCAATCACTTTTAAAGCAAAAAATGCACAACTTACCAGCATATAAGAGTAAAAACCAGCACAACTTACCAGCATATAAGAGAAAAGCCAACATATACGAATAAAAAGCGGAGCGCATCAAATCGGGTAAGTGGGTGGGTACAAATATACGTTTGGTGCAGCTGATTGCAACAAAAATGGGAAATGATGTTTTAGTGACGCAAATAGGTACGTACGTACGTACGTATAGGCGTCACTAAAACATTCACATTAAATACATTTTAAATCCATTTTACAAACTATTTAGGAAAAAAATAGTCCTTTATTCTGTCACACGTATATATGTCATGCAAAAGAATCGTCTAAATGGACTCGAGAGCACTCAAAATGAATGTTTTCGTTGAATTATGATACTCCAAATTTTTCGCGATTACAATAATTTGTTGACTTCGCACAAGGAAGTAAAAAAAAACGAAACTTAAAATTTGGTTTAAAAGTACAAATGTCCAGCTCTAAGTACAGGTTCTTGATTTTTACATTATTGTTCCATATAAAGAAAGTATTGTAATCGCGAAATGTTCCCGGTAACATATTTCAACGAAAATATCCATTTCAATCCCTCTCGAATCCATCCAAACGAAGTTTTTCCATGACATCTGTACACACGGACAGAATAATGAGTTCCCCCCTTCAAGACGGATTGTAAAATGGATTCTGAGAAAATTTGTTTCGTGACATCTATACGTATGTATCTATACGTGGTATCTATACGTATGTATCTGGCGTAACTCAAAAATGAGTAGCCTTAGAATGTTGAAATTTTGTGTATAGCCTTGCTAAAACATCCAGTTGTGCATTTCCGTTTTTTATTGCAATCGGCTGCACCAAACATATATATCTACTCACCCAGTTACCCGGCTCGATGCGCTCTGTTTTATATTCTTACATAGTGTAAATTGTGACTTTTTTGATTTACAAGTGACTGAATTATGTTGCTTTTATTTATGCCTTTAGTCAATGTGCGTGCTATAGTTGTAGAATTATGAACGGTTTAAAAGTATCGCTATGCTTAATAAAGCCGCCATTTGTTTACATTTTAATTTTTCAGTAGAGTAGTGAATTAAGTAAGTTGCTGCACCAACTTCAGTGTCTTTTGCCCAGTGGGACCAAAAGTTAATCTTTAGTTTTGTACTCCAAACAACTTCTTGCCCTTTGGCTGAATTGCTTGTTTTAGCGTAGAAATTCTAACCAAACAAGTTCTTTTTTATATACTGTTTATTACTGCATTTGCTGTTTTATGTTTTTCTACATTTTACAATTTTTAATGAAGAAACTTTTTGAGATTTTTATGTATTTTTTCTTTGCCGCGAAGTGAAAACTGAACTAATTGAATGAAAAATATATCTGCAATGAAATTTAGGGAAATAAGTTTAAACGAAATTCATCAAAAAATGTGTATAATTTAATAACCCGCAAAAGGTATTATTAGTGTGTACGACAGGTATTTTAATAATATCAAAAATTAAATAAAATGCTAGAATAATTTAATAAAATAATCGATTTAGTATAGTTTATTAGCGTGCAAAATGTTATTCTTCTACAAACATTTTTACGTCTGTAATTCAATAATAGATGTGCAGAAAAAGAGAACTCCAAAGAAATGTTGTAAGTTTAATTTGACGAAAACCAAATTTCGTTTCTATGATTTCAAGTTTCCTGGAACTTTAAATAACCGAAAAATTAGAGCTGTATTTTCTTAATGCCGTTCGCGAAATCTACAAGGTAAATTAGTATATCTCAAAGATTTATCTCCAAAACATGTTAAAAGTTTAGTTTCCTGTCAATGTGAGACTTAATTTTGCCACTTAAAAATGTAAAGTTTTACAGCTAAACAAAATCTAGATTCCTATGTGCAATTTGCTTCTAAATTAAAAAAAAAATATATTCATTTTCAGAAACATGAGGTTTGGAACGTTAACAATGGATGACAATCCTCCAATTAGTAATACATCTGAGCCTGGTGCCACAGAGCTGAACACGGACGGAGTATACTGGATAGGTAAGAAAATATATTCATATTTCTGAATGCATATTTCAAGATATATTGATAAAAAGGCGATTAAATTTTTACATCCTATCATGATAAGTTTTAATTTCGTAGAATATCTAAGATATATATATAATTTCTAAGATTAGAAAGTCAATCTTAAAGATATTTTTAGCAGTGATGTGACGATTTAGATCGTGTAAAATCATCGTTCATATAGATTTAATAACGAAGCAAAATATTTGAAAATACTACATTATTCACAATTGTTACTCATATATATAATTATCAGTTTCTATATCCGATATCCTGATGACAAACATTGAAACTCACAAGACTTAGGAATTTGAAGATTTGCACTAGAATAATACACGATCCTTTTGGATATATGCCTACATTAACTGTTAAAAATTATATTGCATATTGCTAAGACAATCATAAATCTTGATATTTGGAGATTGAAAACTTTATCGTTGAATTATGATCCACAGAAATATCAAAAGCTTTGGTATAAAATAATTATTTGCGTAATTTAAAATCTTAGCCTGTTCATAATATTCTTTGAATGTGTTATCTAAAAACAGTCATAGGCCAGTAAATATATTAAAGTCTTTTTGTGATAATCTGTATGTAGAGAAACAAAACTCTTAAGCTTAAAACCGCTGTATTTTGGCTTTCTCACTTAATATGGATCTATATCAGCTAATTTGTCCTAACGTTTCAAAGAGTTGCGTATTTAATTTGGAAAGCTCATGTTTGCTCAATAGTTTAAATTAAAAAATATGTATCTCAGAAAATAATTAACAAGATAATTGACTAAACTATAAAATTTTAAGTTTGTCATATCTGAAAGCAGCATTAAAATGCAAAGCTTCGCTAAAATAAAAATGCAAGGTTTACGCTGACTAATATAAAACAATTAATATTTGAAAGAAAACCCGCATCTATTTTAGCGTTATTGCTTTAGAATACATAAATATTTTCATTCCTTGTTTATCTAAAACAGGTGCCTTAAATACCTGCGAAAGCTTTTGCATAAAATGCAAATTATATGTATTTACTTTTAATTACCTGGTATGTATCCCGTTGACTCTGGATTTAATGAAGCTCACGCACCGACGATAAAATTTCTTGAATCGAGAACTTTCGTTAATATTCGTAGGGTGACTCGTAAAATTGGTAAATAAATATATACCTTTTCTTTAGAAAAAATAAGACCTGGGCTTTGATTAGTTTTTACTCCAAAAGACTCAATGGGGCTCATTCTTAGGCGTTATCTTATGGTATCATGAACAGCAATTTATATTTACCTGCTTACAGCAATCTACATTTATTCAAATATAGCCATATGAAGTTCTTCTCAATTATCCTCATAAAGCCCCAAACCTCGAATTCCCGCCTGAATTTATTCCTATTCCATTTTCTGTTAAATCACTGGCACTAATCTGTCATATTTAATAACACTACTGTCTTTGAATGAGTACATCTTTCCTCTATAGCTTACTCATAGTATATTAAAAACACAGTTGTCAATTATTTTATCCCATGAATTTTTCACTGAAGCCACAATCACTTGTAGCTTAGGCTTCGTAAAACTAACACACAGGCGATTTCTTTTCATTCTGTGTTCAATGTAGTCATCGATTTCCATCTGCAAAAATGGCGGATGGCTTGTTTATTGAGACATAAAGAGTGTAGAAAGAGGCACTCATTTCTGAGGGAATTATTATTTGATATAGTCTTCTTTCTATGAGGAATTTCTTTATCTATTTAGTATGTTGAGCATTGGCTAAATCCCCGACCTACTGATTTCTTTGGATGTCTCGCAAATTAAAATGGTAGCATTTATTCGACCCAGTTTCTTATAAATTTCTTGTACACTGGTGTGTAAAATTGAGAGAAATTGCACATTATGTTGAATTTCTGAAAACCTAATGGACAGACTTTAATGAAATTTGGTCTGAATACACATGTATAACACAGAAAGAGCCAGACAGATTGCGCAACGTGACGACATACTGGACAGGAGGTAGTTGAGGAGACCCTGTGGCTGTCGATCCCACTCCTGAAGCAAAGCAGTTTTCAACTCCGGAACAGTTCTCGAAGAGGGACGGCAAGATTAAATTACCCCGCAAAGAGAATCCTAGACATGCTGTATAGGATTGAGGCCAGAAGATCTGACTGGCCAATCCATGCAGCGCATATCGTCACTTCCCAGGTAATAATCCTTCATTTGAGCCCTATGTCGATGATCGTTTTCCTCCATTAACAGAACCCAGGACGAACTTCTCCCTTGAAAAGTCGAAAATAGGGCTCTAGACCTCTTCTATAACTCATTAATCATGCAGCCTTTTTCAAACACATGAATGGTGCGCGGCCGTCCAACATAATGTCTGCCCAAACCATGAGACCTCCACCTGCAGAATGATCCTTTTCGCTGACGAGAAAGGGATGGTATCATGTTCCAGGCTCTCTTCAGATACAAATACACTGTGATTCAGTGTCCGCGCTAAGTCCCGACTTATCTGCAAAACGCACGGTGCTTCACTGAAGTGTGGTTATTTAACCAGCGTCCTGAAATTGTCACCACGAAAAGCAAACGACAGTGGGTGTCACATTAAGCGTTGTAGGCACCTGCGCTTGTGATTTCCCTGCCTTCAATTTACCGACACTTTTCCATCTCATTCCGTCATCCATACTTTCGTGGCTACTAATTTTACCTGACACCTTTTAAAACTTGCGAGAAAAACGGCCAATGTCGAAAATGCGTACGAGCTCTTAAATCGCCAAAAAACTCCTCGTGCGCTTTTATCCCTTTCACAGTCACAGCTCCGCAGACACGCACATGTACGCTTACGTATTCGACTCAAAAATATTTGCGTAATTGTTTGGTGGCATAATTTTTACCTTTGATTCAATACTTTTCGTAAAAATTGGCATAATTTGCAAATACTGTTAATTTTGCACGAGTGTAGTTGCTTATGGACGCTAAGCGTTTTCGGTTTCAAGAATATGAATGACTGAATTAAGCTCATTCTTCCCTTAGTGATAATTAAAGGCGGAACTTTCCTTCTGTCTGAATGACTAAAGTACAGGTAACTAGTGTGTTTCAAAACAAATGGAACACAAACTGACAAGGCAACACTCTGATTAATTTTCGTTAAGAACTTTGAACGATTAGCACTGAAGTTTCATCAGTAGCAATGATATTAGAGAAATGGGCTTTAGAAAATTTTATGCCGACAACTAAAGTCATGGATACAATTTTATATTTAATAATTTCAGCACCTTGATGCTTCGTAAGTAGTGTTGATTTCGTTAGAAACAGTTTACATCGCTGAAGATGTCATCGATTCAGTATTGTTATGATTTGACTTCTGGGAGTATATCTAACTAGGCGTTCCACTATAAAGGCAAATGTTTGAGAATTAACTTTCCAAGCATTCAGAACTTTTGCTATTTTGTTAGATATCCATTCACTGGTGATGAATTCCACTCAACAAATACTGATTACCGCTATGATCCACACATGTGCTTCTTGGCATTTTTCTCGTTCATTTATTAACTGAAATTGTCGTACTATGCTAGATATTTTAGGACGACAATTCGCAGACCTAACTTCTCTTTGTAGAAAGCTGTAAAATTCTTCTTCAGGGAGTCCTCAGCGATTGCTTTGTTGTACTTAGTAGAACAGCTACTTTTTATGTTCATATTCTTTAGGGATCAAAATATTATTTCCTCTAAAACTTTTATTAAATCAAGTGTTAACTGAGCATTTTGCAGACAGTAGTGGCAATAAAAAACTGTTAAGAATGATGCACCTGCAGCACAGAAATCGAAAAACATTTCTGTATTTCACACGAATGTATTAGACATCGTATATTGTAAGCGAATGTCCGTTACACTGCACGATGCGCTGAATTATGAAAGTTCTTAACTTAGTCTAACGGACGATTTTAACTGGGACTTATTTTAGAGATAGGAATTATAGCATTAGCATCGTCAAAAATCGTGATGCGACTAAACTTCGGGAAAACACAGTAGAAAATCTGCGTTGTTATCTCAGTTTAATAATTGTTTTAGAAAGGTTGAAGTAACTATGAAGACTGTCCTTAAAACTTGAGAATTTTAAATCTGTATTAAAAAAAATAAACTGTACATCCAAAAAAGAAGTATATATGTTAAAATTATCTAATAAATATATTTTTGTTCTTGTTGTTGTTGTTGCTCCCGAAAGGCGAGCTCCGTTTTGTCTGTTTTTTTTAGACATTAGCCATTTTATTGTGGAGGCACCTAATAGGCGCAAACCTTCACCTAATATGAAGGGACGGACAGTTACAACCATGCCTTCTCCGGGACTCGAACTCCTGACCTTCGTAGTCGGTTCCCCTAAGCACTATGTTTGGAGTAATTTCAGAAGTAGTGTAAACTGCACTTTGTTTTAAAGTGGTAGTGATCCAAAAGTTAGCAAAAAATTTTTTTTTAAATAATGCAATTCCATAAAATGTAGCATGCTGTGGCAGCTCAAATAGACTTAAAATGCATAAAGTTACCCTTTTTTACTAGGCAAGTTTTATTAGTAACACTTACACCTAGTAGAAGGCATCAACCAAGGAAGTTGCCAGAAAAAGTCGCACGTACGGGACCTAACATAGTATTCTCTGTATTGCCATTAACTAAGAAAGTATTGTTTCAGAACCTTTTACCAAAAATAACAGTATATATCGCAAGTGTAGTTTTGTATCTGTCCATCAGCTAACATATATGACAGATAGTAAACGATCATTAATTGGTGTATTATTGAAAAACATAAGATGGACAACTATCCACGAAGTGAAAGACCAGCGACTGTGCTTTTATTACAAAAATATTGGCCACTCTGTTGACATCAGCAATACATGACCTGGAGCTGCATACGTACGCCTAGGAGTCGGAAGGTCCACAGCTCGAAACCCGGCAAGGGGTATCTAAGATTTATCATTTTGTCTGCTCTAAAAAGATCTAAGACTATC